TATCTTGGTAATTGGGGGAAAAATATAATACGAGGGAGGAGAATGTCTTATGTTCCACCATATTCTCTATGCCATTTCCAGACTGCCTACTTAAGAAAGGAAAAGGCCAACTTTTGAAGCATATGCACCTAGAGGGAGATAACCACTGCCAAACTTCATGCCACTCAGAGTCCCAAGCATTAAAACCAATTGTCTTTAAAGCTACCAACTCCCAGGAGCCATGGTCTCTGGAAGGATCATCCTTTCAGGAATCTTTGCCAAGCATGTTGGTAAACGAAGAGTCAGAAGAGGGAAATGACACTGTGTGTTGAGTGGGGTGACCTGTCTGCTGGCTGACCCAATAATTTCAGTTTGGTCTTCACAGAATACCAAAGCTGGAAGGAAGCCTTTGAGATGGTCGAGCACCTCTCATTTTACAGAAATGGAAACTGGGTCGCAGCACTCAACCCGCCCGAGTTAACGAGCGAGGGGAGTCTCCTAATGCACACCCCCTGAATTCTCGAGTCCAGCATTCTTTGCATCTCTCCAACATCAATTCTGCGGCAGGTTTATATTAGACTGGTAATCACTTTTTCCAACATCAGTTGCTTTTAGTTTGTTGACCTAAACCTGCTAAAACAAGTGATAGCACTTAGGAGAACTAGTTTCATATTCTTGATGGTACTGTTTATGTTGTCTGGAATCAAGTGCTTCTGGAGAATGCTCTGCAAGTTCCTTCTCAGTTGCCCTAACAGCACCTGTGCACACAGGGCAGCAGAGATGTGAAATTTCTTTTGTAAAAATAAGAGTTGAGGTTAAAATTGATCTCTCAAATGAGAATCTGACCAGCTAGCTTGGTCTGTTCAAGCAAGAAGACGGGCTGTAATCCTGTGAGCAAGTCTATACACACATACCCCATGTTTTACTTGTCCTCGACACTTCCTTTGTAAGCTGCAAAAGCCACCCTTCACCTTTCTTCCCCTAGTAAAGTTACCGCTATGATTTTGGCATAGAGATGCCAGAGCTCAGAGATGCAAAATTCAGTTGCTCCTGCTTATTTCTCCAGTGAGCCTGGAAGCCTTTCTCAAGTGCTCAGAGCGAGCAGAAAACCCACGTGACTGTTCAGGAGCATGCCTTGTTAGAAAGTTCCAAAGAACAGCTAGAGAATCTAACTAGGCAATCTTCTCATTTGACAAATTAAATAGGCCTTTTTTATAATTGTGTTGCTAACATTAAATCTGATAATAAGGCTTTTAGTGGAATTTTTTGAAATCCCAATAATTTTTCTTCCTTGAACATCAAAAAAAAAAAAGTCACATCTTTCTGCAAATAGTAATAGTTGTGCCTCCTCTAGACAGCTCTAAGGGATGACTTCAAGTGCTTAAATTTATAACCCATGCACTGATGGCAGGTTCATTTTGTTCAAAGGGCTTTAGAAATGTTTGAATTAGTTGCTAGCATTGAGAAGGTGGGAGACGTTTTACCAGAGTTCAAGTTCTTGGCTGCTTTTGGAAAGACTGACGTTCTAGCACTGCTTCCTTCTCTCATGCCCGGCAGCAGTCGCATGTGCCGCAGGAGCGCGGCGCTCAGCCGCAGCCTGCCCACACCACGTCGGCTGCCCCACAGCACCTCCACACCTGTTCTAACTTGCCTGGCCCCCCACCCGAGGACCACATAGGGCAGGGCCACATGCGGACATCTAGCAGTCTTCGGTGCTCATTCCAGTTTTACTTCTGTCTTACAATGGCTTATGATTCGGATCTAAAGTGAGAGCTATGCTCAGTTGCACCCAACTCTTTGTAACCCTGTGCACTGGGGCCCACCAAGTTCCTCCGTCCGAGGAATTCTCCAGGCAAGAATACTAGAGTGGGTAGCCATTTCCTCCTCCAGGGGATCTTCCTGACCCAGGGAATGAACCTGCCTCTCCTTCACTGGCGGGTGGATTCTTTAGCACTAGCACCACCAGACAGCAAATCTCTCCTTGCACTTGTGATACTTACTTAACTCAGGAACTAGAAAGCTGAGTGTCAAGAATATCAAGTACATACACAAGGTGAGTCATTCTCTTACTGAGTACTGAAAGCAGTGCCCACTGACTTATCAGCATCCCTCCACGGGCTGTATGTGCTCCAGTTTGGTCTGAAGTGAGGAAAATGCAATCACTGGGCTTCTGCTTCACCCATGTAGAGACCAGAGGCAGTGTTTTAGTATTTGATACTTAGCTTGGGGCTAAATTTTGAGTTTTGTGATGGACCAAACATTTTGTTAATGAAATCTATGAATACCTTTTAGCAAATGTAGGCCTAGTTTTCTAGCCTAATTCTTTACAGGGCTGCAGGGCAGCTGCCTCCCTTTCATCCTTTGTAGACAGTCTTTGTTATTGCTATCACCCAAGATTTAAAAGCTTTAAAGCTTACATTATTATTGTGAATAAATATTTCTGCATTTCCTTAAACCTTTGGCAGTCGATATAACCCTTATGTAAGGAAATGAAGAAATGAATGGGGTGATTACTAGGCGGAGCAAAAGCAACCAGGACTTGAAAACTACTGAGGACAGTGACTTCAGCTTATACCTGCCTTTCTCCAGGCCAAGTAAGGCTGAGTATTTCATTATCCACCCTTTCAAGGCAAAGGTCTTTTCTAAAAGGATGCCCACTGTTTGCAGCAAAGGTTCTGAAAAGATCTTCAAAATCTGGAAACCTGCTCCTCTGTCATGTGAGATCGTGAGGGAAGAAGCACTTGCACTGTAAATGAGGATCAGGAGATTGCCTTCTTGAGGAAAACTGGTGACGGCCATCAAAATTGTAAACGCATAACCTTTCTCCCATAACCGTGCTACTCAGAATTTATGTGCATATGTGCCAATGAAGGATAAAGTGTCTATGAGAAAACTGAAGCCCATCACCAAGGGACAGGTGAAATAAATTACGGTATATCCCAAAGCAGACTATTTGAAGTCATTGCAAGAACAGAGTGAGGTAGACCTATACGCACTAACGTGGAATACCCACATGTAAAGTGAGAAAAGCAAGTCTTAGTTGGTGTAGTTTCCTGCCATTTTAAAAAGATACATTAATGTAAATATGCTTTGAACATCTGAAGGATACACAACTAATGGGTAACAGTGGTTACTTCTAGGGAGGGGAACCAAGGGAAGGAGAGTGGAAAGGAGATACTTCATGTCTTTACCTTTTTTTTAAACCATGTGCAGGCATTTTCTTTGCAATGCTGTTTTTAAAATGAATCAGAACACGGAGATGATAATGGAGTCATTGAGAAGAGCTCTCCCCCACTGGTGTGCTAGCCTGGATACCAAGCCTTGCCCTGTCCAGGGGTGAGTACAGGGGATGTTGTTGACTGCTGGCTTTCCTACTGGATCAGGTCTGCCCTCCCAGGGCCCAACAGCTTTTCCCACACCAGTACATGTGGGCAGCTCTGCCTCTATGCCTCAAGTACTATTTCACACAAGCTAGTAGGGCAAGTGGATGTGCAGGAGGAGTCAAACGTTGGTCTGTTAATGGTAGAACAGCAAGGCTAGTCAAAGGAGCAAAATGAACGTGATCTGGATGTGTTTGAAGAGATCTTGTTCAGAAAGGTCATTTGTTATTGATTAAGCATTTATTAAATACCTTCCTAAAGGTCTGAGATACCACTAGGACACTAAGTTAGGATTGAAATATATGGGCAAGAATGACCCATATCGAAGTACTAGCTTGTCAGTTCAAATCCAATGTAATTCCCCCTTGAAACAGAACCCCAGATTAACTTTAAGTAGCCAGCAGCACAGAATCCTCTAATTTAAAGATTTTAAAAGAAAAACATAACCAGAAGGCCAACAAATTAGCTGGAAGGGAGGGGTGAAAAGGAATCAACCTACAAAGCACTCTGCCACAGAGAGCAGATCCTTGTAGTTTGTTGGTCTCTTTCCTTGAGATAATCACTACCTTGCTAAAAACGGGTAAGGCACCCCCTGCCATCCCCAAGGGGAAAAAAATATTCACCCAAACAGCTTCTCCTTGTTTTTAACCATATATTCCAGGGGTATGTGTGGGGAGATTATTTTTGTTTGTTTTTACATTTATACAGTTTACATTGCTTGACCCATAAATAACACTTGTAAGATTAATAGGGCCATAGTTTTAAAGAGTATTTACATAGCCCCACCATGCATACAGAGCCTTTTTAATGTTGAAAAATTGGAAAAAAAAAAAAAAAAGAACTTTCCATCACTAGGCAATATACATTTGACCATCTAAACTTATAAACCCTGACTAAGATACAAGCAATCATTTCATCCATAAATGCTGTTTCTGGTTCCCTAACAAATCTAGCACTGCAGTGTAACAAACATCTTACATTTCAGGGATATAAAAATATCAGCTTTAAAATCTGAACTGTACAGTATGTACATTAATATTTGCACCGTTAAATTAGGAATACACTTAAGTCTATGAAATACTACATTATAAATAGCAATGTTCTTTTCGATCTGTAGCTGGAGCTAATATAATGTTTACCTGGCTAATAAGGGCTGGAAGGGGATGAGGTGGCCTTGCACAGTGGGACGCACAGTGTTGGCTGGGTCACATGACTACGTGCATGCCACACGACTGGACAGACCGTCAGGACCTGGGTCAACCTGGTGCAGACAAACGACAAACACTACTGCTTGACAAAGGTGGCTCAAGTTCTCCATTGTCTAAAAATCAACACCCCCATCCAGTCACCTCTCAACAGCTTCTTGCGGATCTCTCGAGGTTTGGAGACCAAAGCAGCTGTGTCAAATTGTGATGCACCCAACAGACACACAAGGTCATGTCTACCTGGCACCATCCAAGGAGGGTAAGTGGAGAAATCACACCTTCCAAAGGTTAATCTGACACTGTAAACAGCAGTCGGGGTCTCATTTACATGGGCAAAGCACTTGAATCTATTTTAGCAACTTTCCTATGGAAGAAAAAAGATATGATTTAAGGTGGTTAATGGCTAAGTTTAAATACAATCTCCGCAGCTACTACATTAAGAAATAATACAGTTTTTGCCCTTGTGTCCCTTTTTCTTCTTGGATTTAGTTGTCCTCTGACCAAACTGAGGCGTGGGGAGTGCAGAAGTTGGACTAGAAAGGTCGTCTGTGTAGTAGGCGTATCTCTGCGGCCGGGGCTGAGGAATTGGCTGTCCAAGAAAATACCCTTCTTCTTCTGAGTCAGAGGAGGAGGAGGTGGAGGAGGAGCACCAGGAGCCGTCGTCCTCCCCGTAGAGGCCTAGAAAGCGCGACCCCCCCGGGTTCTGCAGGGCGTAGTCAGAAGCGGCGTGGGTGTACTGCCCATAGAGGTCAGCGTTCTGGATGTAGGCCTGGATTTCCCGGGCACTCTTGCTCTGGATAAACTTTTCGTAGTTATCGGGGGTGTAGAGCCGCAGCCTGTCCTTGGGAGAGTACTTTCTTTCTGTGACAAGGTTCAGGGCATTGTCTGAGCGGGACTTCCTACTTCTCCTGCGGCGATGGTGATGGGACCTGGGTCCCCTCTCTTCAAAATGGTACACCCGTCTCCGAGTTCTCTCACTCATTGGCGGCTGCCGGATTTCGATGTTCTCGTAGCTTCCATTGTCAATGACATCATCTGAAAACTTGACCTGCTGTGGCCTGGACTGAGACTTGGACCTTCGGAGCACTGGCAGGTGAAGTGGTTTCTCCTCGGGCAGGATTTTTTCTGGACACAACTCTGAACTGAGGCTCTTCAAGGACTCCGTGCTCCTGTGCAGCATGGAAGAGTTCAAAGTCCCCATATTGCTCATTTTCTCACAGTCTTCTGTCTCTATTTCCTCAAAGTTTTGCAGAGAATACAATGATGGCCTCGGCTTGCTTTCTCCATCCACTGACGCCCCTAAAAGAAAAGCCAAGACAAGACGTGACTGTCAACAACCCTAACACTCTGACAGTTATTACCAACAAGTTTTAGAAGCATTTTGAAGTGAAGTCCCTTGAATTTCAATATCTGATGAACAATCACTGGGCAAAACCAATGGACATATATACTTAATCGAGAAGAGGTATGAATTTTATCATTGAAACAAGAGGCCCAGCATCTCTTATGAGCCCCAGGCATTTGGGGGCCAAACATGAGTTACAGCCCATGGGATGAGCAGCCAAACTAAAAGCTCTTCATAACAGTTCTGTCATTAATTTATTAACATGACACAAAGAAGCTTCTGTCTCTCAACCCATTAAAGTCAGCTGTTTCATCTGAATCTCTCAAAGCAGTCCTTCCCTTTGCATGTACACGGCCACCATTATGGCCCTCTTCTTAAGCCAAGACTAGTCTTCTCTTATACCTGGACTGGTAGTCGAACAGCCCAAGGGCCGGATCCAGCCCACAGCCTATGTGTGGATACAGTTTCACTGGGCCAGATATATCTGTTTGCTTCTCTGCTGCCTATGGTTTTTTCCACAGTGTAGAGTTGAGTAGTTACAACAAAGACTATAACGTCCCAAAAGTCCTAGCTAGCCTTTTATGGAAAAAGTTTGCCAAACCCCTGACCCCAGGCCTTTATCCAATCTTCTGCTCCGTCAACCCATAAACTGATATTCCACTTCCAGATTAATTCCATTTTAAAACTTTGCTCAAAACCGATGATGTTGCGCTCCTTGTTACAACAGGGCTCAGGCAAGTTAAGAGAAATGAACACAACCCAGCTGACGGTAAGCAACAACAGGGAGCGCTGTGAACTGCTGTCAACTGGTGACTACATAGCTTCCCAATTTCTAAAAAAAGCCTATTTTTGAGCCGATTGTTGTCAAGAAAAGTAAGCAATAACATGACGTGAACCAAATGTTGTCTACTTTTGATATTTAAATGTTGAAACACCTATCAGAGGGCCTAGCAAACAGGAGGTGCTTAGTATTTAGTCTTACCCACCATTCCTTAAGTCCCCTAAATTATAGGCTTTAATGTTGACAAGCCCAACCAAAGTCAGGAGGGTAGCTGTCTTAATCCTCTGTGCCCAGCACCTGGCCTGGGGCCCTCCTGGCAGCTGCTCAAGCCTCTCCTGCCTATGTTACAATGTAACGTAACCTTTATGAAAGGACTAGTGTCATTGGTTGGACTATGAAACTAATCAAGCAACAACAGTACCCAAAAACTTGTGGCAAATTTAAGATTCAGGAGGGTTGGGTTCTAGGATCAACCTTATCTTTAAATACTTATATAAAGTTGGGCATTTAGCTTCTTGGTTTTTTTTGGTGTTCTGGTTTTGTATTTTTGATCATGTCATGTGGCTTGCAGGATCTTAGTTCCTCAACTAGGGACTGAACCCGGGTCATGGAAATGAAAGAACAGAGTCCTAACCACTGGACTGCCAGGGAATTCCCTAGTATCTTGGTAATTCAACTTTCCACATTTGTAAAATGCAATAATATCCACTCTCTCAGGGTCATTTTAAGGATGAAATGTAGATAACTGACACCAAAGTGTTTTGAAAACATTAAAGTGAAATTATTTTATAATCTGGGTTAAAAAAAAACTTAGCTAATTCTGAACTGTCTATTGCCACAGGGCAATTCAGGAAAATAAAAAAAATGTTCTGTGCTTATGAAGTATGCATGTTGATTTTAATATCTTTAATTCATACAGAATGATCCAGAGTCCAATATCTTTCAAATACAGATGTAGACTCCATCATCCAAATAAACTGATCTCTTCTCTTCAAAACAGGGATAACAATATCTGTCCCCAAAGACTGTACTGAACGTTTATTTCATATATATGCATACAAGTATGTGAGTGTTTGCTATGCTATCTGTTCTGTTCAGTCGCTAAATTGTATTCAACTCTGTGACTCCACAGACTGCAGCATGCCAGGCTTCCCTGTCTGTCACCATCTTCTGGAGCTTGCTCAAACTCACTCATGTCCATTGAGTTGATGATGCCATTTGGCCATTTCATCCTCTGCCGCCCCCTTCTCCTCCTGCCTTCAATGTTCCCTAGCATAAGGGTCTTTCCCAATGAGTCAGTTCCTCACGTCAGATGGCCCAAGTATGGAGCTTCAGCTTCAGCATTAATCCTGCCAATGAATACTCAGGATTGATTTCCGTTAGGATTGACTGGTTTGATTTCCCTGCTGTCCAAGGGCCTCTCAAGAGTCTTCTCCAATACCACAATTTCAAAGCATCGTTCTTCAGTGCTCAGCCTTCTTTATGATCCAGCTCTCACATCCATACATGACTACTGGAAAAACCATAGCTTTGATGCTACGGACTTTTGTCAGCAAAGTGGTGTCTCTGCTGTTTAATACACTGTTGTTTTGCGACAGTGTTTAGCATTTAACTGAAACTCCTTCCTTCCCATGGTCTACGGTTTTAAAAATCATAGCCACCCACCCCCCCAAAAAAAACATAGACCCTACTGGTTGCTGAACTGTAACTTTTGGCATAAACTTTTTAGTGGCTCCTTTTTCAAATACCCCATAATCCCTAGATTACATACCTGTGATATTAGACAAAGCCAAAGAATCCATAGAATCCCGAACACTTTGCTCTGGTTTCAGGTCTGACAAGCACTCCAGGGAATCTTCATACCACTGTGTTTGATCGTGATTGTATCCTGAAGCCCCATGGTCCAGATCCAATTCCTGGAGTCTTCGACTGCTCGCAGGGCCTGGGTGGCTGCCATAAGCAGAATCTCCCAGTCCATCTTGTGACTGTGCCCAATACATATCAGATTGGTATTTTTTACTTGCAAGGCTCTGGTTGTTTTGCTTTAACTCGGTCTTATTTTTAACCATGTTATCAGCTATCCAGTGCTCACTGGCTCGAATGTCCATCTCACTGGGCTGCTGCTGAAAGAGACTTTTATCACCAAACTTGAGGAGGAGCTGTGTCATATAATCTTCATGCTCTGCCCATTCTTCAGGGTCTTCTGGGGTTTCGTGCTCTACTCTGCCTTTCCAAAATTCTTCATTGACAAAACTTGCTCCTTGCCTGGAAAGGCTCAGATCGTCCAGCTTCCGAGATAGGGTGTCGTCAGCATTGCCTGACAGGCCAGGAAACTTGTAGTTCAGAGCAGGGGACAGAAGGAGTGACTGACGACACTGGTCTGCTGACCGGCTGCTCTTGCCCATCCGGACACTTCTCCTGGAGTCTCTTGACCGAGCCGACTGGAACGCAGAGTCGGAGGAATCGGAGGCATGCACGTCTTCACCAAGGCTGCATGTCTTAGAGCAATAAATCTGGCCTTGTTTGGGGAGGAAGGGGCATCCCAACAGAGAGGTTTTGCACTGGGCACAGGAAAAGCAGGCCTCTGTGGCATGCCAGTGCTGCCCATCATAGGTCATCTGCGCGTGGTCCACACCTGTTTCGAGAAAGGAAAGAATCACAAGTTATGGTTCCGCTCTGACACAGAGAAAGAAGAAGAGACAGATGGTGGGCATGAGGGAACCTTTGAGGGTGAGGAGACTGTCCTGGATCTTGATAGAGCTGGGACTTACACAGGTGCAGTTCATTCTCATTTATAAATTGACCTATGTGCTAAATTTCCTGTTAGTTCCAAAATCAATCCTTGGAGAGTCTCCAAGGTCACTTGCAGACATGTGCAAAGTGACAAAAAAGTTTGAGTCAAGTGATGCTGCTGCATCCCAGCTGAGGTGAAAGGGGGGCCTCCTGGGTCAGTGCTCACACGTCACACAAGGCCTGTTTTCTTTCCCACGTCTGTACTTTCTCTGAGTGACTTTGCTGTTTAAAATGGCCCAAGCACACAGCTGAAGTGCTGTCTAGTGGGGCCCAGCACAGAAGGCTGTGATGTGCCTCACAGAGGCAATCCACGGGTCAGATGAGTTTTGTCCAAGCAGGTGGGACAGGGCTATTGACTGTGAGTTCAGTTTAATGAATCAACAACATATATTAAATAAGGTGTCTTTAAAGCAAAATACACAGGAAATAAGATTATCTGTTTGGTTTATGACACTGTTTCAACCAGAGGCTCATCGGAACTAACTCACTGTATCTCCAGGAGCAATGGCTAGGTACTGGATAATCATGTTCATGGGGACTTAACAGATCACAACTGCCAGGAGTGATGAGAATCCAGTCTACACCCGTTCGTCAAAATTCATCAAACCGAAACACTTAAATCTTTCAGATTTCACTATACGTAAACTATACCTCCATCAAAAACAAAAAGAAAGAAAAAAACACTGGATAACCAGAGACAGAGTGACGGACAAGTGACAAAGCCGCAGGCTGGGCCACAGACGCACCGATGTGCTCCCCGCACGTCTCGCAGTACTCTGCATACAGGGACTCGAAGCAGCTGCAGCAGAATGGGCGGCCATCCTTCATGATGTACCTCTGTCCCCCCAGGACCGTCTCGCACTCCAGGCAGCAGAAGTGTTTCATGTGCCAATGCCGACCCTCAGCTTCTGTGCACTCGTCAGCAAAAATTATCTTTAAAGAGAAACAAGAAACCACAGGATAAAAGAAAATCATTGTGAATGATTTTAAAGGCCAAGTAACCGTGTTTTCTGGGCAACTGACAGGCACTGGATCTTTGTTTCTTACAGCTTCAAGCTTACATGTAATTTGATGTAGCTACAGAACAAGAACAGAACTTGAAAACATTGAAAAAGAGAAACTAAGTGCATGCTTACACTTTAAAAGAAAACACAGAATTCTACATTGGAGGTAATACACTTGGTCATATTGTTGCTCCCCAATCACACTTTGTAGGCATAATGCGGCAAAGAACACATTAACCCTGAAGTAATTTAGTGGCCTGTGCACCATTTAATATAAAAAAAAAAAACTCATTAAAGTGGCTGGGAGCCACCAGTTACAGCGATCTGGGGGCTGGACAAGTGAACAGCACTTAATGCAGATGATGCTTCCTTTGACCTGATGGCCATCTCCAGATTAAGGGCTTTTTGATTTTTCTATATTTTTGGTTTCAAAAACTTTTCAAATAGCACATCATAGAAGAAATTTAAATATACAAAAGTAAAAAACTGGAAGTTTACTATTACCTATTGAAGCAGACTAGGGAGCTACAATGCATAAATGCAATGAGGTTCCTTGGATGGGGTGTCAGAATAAAACACAGACATGAGTAGAAAAACTGAGGAAATCTAAATAAAGTCTATGATTTAGTTAAAATATTATAACAATGTTAATTTCTTAGTTTTGATGCATATACCATGATTACATAAGATAATTAACAAGCTAGGATAAGGGTATACAGGGACTCTCCGAGATATTTTTGCAACTCTTCTGTAAATCTAAAATTCCTTAAAAATAAAAAGCCTACGGTAGAAAAACTTCGTTTTGCACCACCAGCCCTTCCCACACATGCTCCAGGGTTAACCACTGTGAACTCAGTCTATGTCTTTACACGCTGTCTCTCAGTGTTTACAACTATGTATACAGTTTGTTCTTCCGCCCTTTAACAAAAGTAAGATCAATCTTTACACATTCTTCTTGCAACTTGGTTTTGTCTCATAATCCATCAGTGCACACAGACGCCAGCTGCATTCGCTTCATTAGCTGCAGAGGACTCCCTTATCCCACTGTACAGGGTCATCTTAAAACTACATGCACACAGCACATGCAGCGGAGATGTCTATTTGGCTGAGGTGTGAACAGTGGAATGTTGGCTGACTAGAAGCTTATTTATTTTTCCCAGTGTTAAGGGGTGAACTTTTTTACCTCGTCACATGCTGAACACCGGGGTTTGAGCAGCTCAGCATGGTGCCGGCCACAGTGAATTTTTCCATCCTGATAAAAATAGATGAGGTCGACCAGCAGCTCACTGCACGTGAAGCAGACAAAACAGGATGGGTGCCAGCACACTCCCGGGCCCGCTCGTGAGGCAAACACTGCAATTTCACCTCCGTTTATCTTCAGCCCACACTAAAAACAAAAGGATTTAGATTTAAAACGATGCTTCTTCAATGACTGCAGTCTCTGCCTTTTCCACTTAACACCCAACCCCAGATCTATCAGGGAGACTTTCTCTTCCCTCCTGCTAGTGGTGAAACAACTCTTCCCTGTGGAACTGTCATTCTCCACTGGAGTGAACACGCCTCGGCTTTACTACCTACCACGCTGGACTGCTCGCTGAGAACACTCGCGGTGGTCTTCCGGGGGCGGGCTCCTGTTGGATCTATTCTTGCTCTGAGAATGCCCACTAAGGCCCTGAACGTCTCTATCATGTCCCTGCGTTTCGGAACAGGAGGCACACCCCAGCCGCGCCCTCCATGCCAGGACCTCAGGATTTCACCCCATGTTTACTTAAGGGGCTGCCTCCCCCATACACACAGCAGTGTGGCCAGTTACGGACAGAAATCCCCACTTAATATGAAGCTACGTTGCTTTTCTTATAGTTTTTGGAGGTTTTTAGGGCTCACACAGATGCTGGCCTGGCCATCCGCTCCCTCCCACCTCTCCCCCTCAGCTGATCCAAGACATCACCACCCTTCCATCCAAAACTCGCTACCTGCTCGCACACGGCATGTATTACTGCTCTGGACAGAAGTTTAATTGTTCCTCTTCCTAGTGCTTCTTTCTTCCGCTGCGCACTGAACACTTGCAGTTCTTTTTTCTCCTCCTCACTCAAAGTCTGGCAGTACCGCACCTTCACAGAAGGAAACAGAAGCACCCTCTGAGGCACACAGCCTCCCTCACCAATTCTTTATTTCCAGAATTGAGTTTCAGGAAATAAAACAGCAAGTGTAGCTGGTCTGCTCTCCTGAATCCCCAGTTTAAAAATGACCCCATACCTTTAAAAGACACCAGATCTTGCAACCTCTCTAGCAAAAGTGAAATGTAATCTGAAGGAATAGTCTTCCCTTTTTTTGGCCACACCACACAGCACGTGGGATCTTAGTTCCTCAACCAGGGATTGAACCCATACCCCTTGCATTGGAAGCATGGAGTCTTAACCACTGGACTGCTACAGAAGTCCTTTTTTGTTTTTAAAAAAAAGGATGAAAAGTTTAATTTAAACTTTTATCAGCAGAGATGCTAAAAAAAAAAAAAAAACCTAAGGCCTTAACCTTTCTTCAAAAGGCTTAAACTGGTTAACTGCCACCTTCATTATACATTCTACAGGCACTCAAGCCCACTGCAGGCCCAAAGCCCCATAAAGCTCTGACTGGGCGAAGGGGTGGAGAAATTGCAGGAACCTGTAGGTTCCTGATAACTGGTGGGTGGCTGCAAACACTATAAAAAACCAACTTGTGTTAAGTTTATTGCACCGACACCCTTTTCTCTCTTAAAGAATGGAGAGCTGTATTCTCCAGCCCAATTTTATCTGAAGAAAGGCAAGAGTCTGAAGTTTATGGGAGGCATCACAATGCTGAGGGTGGATTTTTTTTTTTCCTAATTAGCCTTCTTCCTGTTATTTTACCTCATTATCATGTGGTGGCAACTGGTACAAAAGCTGTTTAATTCGGTGCTTCTCTCCAGGGCTGTTAACATAAGGAACCTTTTCCTCTGGTAAGCAAGCAAAATAGAGCTGGATCTGAGGGAGAGAGAGAGGAGGACGTCAGCACACAGGAAGCGAACACTTCAGCTCAGTCCATCCCTGAGATGTTACCCTGCCCTTTAGGTAGGGCTCCAGCCTCTGACAGGATGTGGCTGCTGGCCGCTAACGAGAAGACCAGCTGAGCCAGGCCAGCAGAAGCACAAACCCCCAGCTAGCTAGCACCCAGCTGCTAAAGGGCTCTCCAGGAATGTAATTTGTAGTAACAACCAGGGGCATCATAAATTACGCACCATAAAATATGCACATTTAATGCTCCCACTGCTTAGTGATCTCCCTAGGGTCAGCCAAGAGCATTCTGAGTGAACACTGGAAGTGACCACACAGGCTGTGTGACACTGTCCACAATCCAGCCACTACACAAACACCCTAGGTTTGCTCTCTGAATTTCACACGCCGCAAGACAAAAGCTGTTCTGTTAAACTGTGGAAACTCTCCCTTATCAGGTTCTCTCAAGCTTCAGCTTTCTTTGCTTCCATGGGTGCTGTTTCCTAAATACCTGGAGCCAGTTTCCCCCAGGACACTGGAGGGGCGCTATGCTGAGCCGTACTCAGTGCATCTGAAAGGAGAACTCAAGTTCTGTTTGATTTTTTTCTTCCCGCTGTATCTAAAGGAAACCCCCTGATGAACACTGCAAAGGATGCTGCAGTGCTGAGGAAGAATGAAGATGATTCCAGAAACAAGAAGACTAGAATCTGGGGCCTGTCTGCTTCAACATTTCAAGATCTCACAAACCTACTCACCAAAGCTGCAGGAAGGGTGCTCTCTTAAAGGTCGGTCGAAACACGGCCTTCCTACCTGGAGCCCAGCTCTTCCCCGTGTCCCACTGTATCAGCCACCGGAGCTTGTATGGTTGCAAACGCCAAACACCAGCTATGTGTGTGCCAGGCGGTGGGTGAGGCCCAGGATGAGTCGGAAACCCCTCTTCTCAAGGGGGTGCCCACCAAATGGGAAGCACAACCATAACTCAGGAGCCCAACGGCCTCCCCTTGTTTCAAACTACCTTGGTCCTTGTGTCTCAGTCACCAGCAGTTTTTTAACAAGTTCATCATTATAAGGATATTGGGAAGATAAAAACAGGTACTCACAATGTTCTCATCTTCCTTAAAATAACAATACAACAAAGCACAAAATTGGCTCTTTAATTTTTCCGATTCACATGGTGTGGTGACAGACTCTTTCCTGTGCAAGGTTATCAGAGATCTAAGCAGTGACACTGAAATGGTCTCAGAGCTCTGTCTCCTCTCTCCCAAAGCCAAGGCACTGCAGAGAACTGCCACAGAAACCTTCCCCTTTCATTTCCTTTTTGTTGTTACTAAAGTTTTTCAAAAGGTTAGTAAGTTCCTCCCACACTCTCCAAAGGGACACCTAAGTCAGAAATCCATATAACAAAGGCAAAGGCAGCACTCTGGGTTTCACTCATCAGGGAAAAAATAACATCCTTCTGGACCCAAGAGTATGAAAGGGGCTGGAGACTTTCATTGAGAAACTGACTTAAAAAAGCAAAACCATCCGAAGAAGAGTAAGGCCCGAGGACACAGCATGTCACTGAGGCAGTGATGTCTGATCACTAAAAGACAGAACACCGAAGACCTTAAATCACGCTGAAAACCAGAAAGGTGGATGATGCGGTTCCCACCTGCTCGGGTCTGAGGCCTGGGGGCACCCAGGCGTACTCCTCCAGCGCGCAGCCCGAGTCATCATCCGATGTGGAGCTCCGCTGGCATCCAAAGGCAAGTTTGCTCATTTTGGGCTCCATCTCCAAAGGCATCATAACAGAGTCAACAGCTGGCTTCTCAGTCACAGGACATCAGACCGTGGCTGCTGTGGACAATATAAGACAACCAAAGAGATGAACCTGAAGTCATGAGTCTTACCCTCCGAGAGCTTTTATTGAACACACATGTACACACATCAGGGCCCGGAGAAAGAGGCCAAATGACCAGTGTCACCGCCCCCAGACCCCCGGATCTTAAAAACTAGGGCTGTACCATGCAGAAAGGGGCCCGTTAGCAGCTCAGCATTTGAGAAAATGCCACCCAAACTAGTTTATCTCCAGATGCCTTTAAAAGGTACTTCTCTACACACTGTTCATTAAAAAAGTTCTCAAGAAAATTGCACTGCTAACTTCCCGCAAATGAAATCCCTGCGGAGCCCCAGGAGTTGTAGGAAGAAGCTGGGCTCGAGCCTCCCGCCTTGTCCACTCCTATGTGCTGTGAAAGGATTGCTCCAGTCACCCGCGTTGGTCCCCAGCATCTCCTGACCCATCTTCCCAGCGGAGGCATTTTGCCTGCCAGTACAAGTGGGTCGGCTGGGCCACACTGCTTAGGTTTCAGGTTTCCAATAAAGTCCGAGAGGCACTGAACTTCGTTTACTCAGGGAGAAGAAACAGCACAGTTAAATCCTTACACAGCACATTAAATTCACAAGCCTTTATATCCATGGGCTACAGGCAGCCAGACATTCATTAATGAGTTCCTTCGTAAGAAAGTCACTGAATTTGAACATTAGGTTAAAATAAAATCAAGTGCAGTGACTATTAGCATTGAACTGTGTTAATGGCAGGCTTTCAGTGAAAAGGTCTGCAGTACCTGGAGGTTCAGTCGGTAAAGAATCTGCCTGCCAATGCAGGAGACCTGAGTTCAAGCCCTGGGTCAGGAAGATCCCCTGGAGAAGGAAATGGCAACCCGCTCCAGTATTCCTGACTGGAAAATTCTATGAACAGAGGAACCTGGTGGGCTACAGTCCACGGAGTTGCAAAAGAGTGGGACATAACTTAGTGACTAAACTACCACAGCACCATCTGCCTCGTGTGTGACATGCTCTCAACGTGCTGCTGGACACATGAGGGAAAAACCCAGCTCTGAAAAGTTTCCTCCGATGAAAGCCGATGAGTGTTTAGACAACAGTCCTGACATACAGCCTAAGAATTTTGTTATCACCATACATGTTACTTCTGAGTTCCTTTTGGTTCTTAAAAATCATCCCCCGTTCCCAGTCATGAAGACAAAAAAAGAAGACTTTCAGGATCAGATGCTGCTTTTTATACTTCACTCCAACAAAAAAAAAAAGAAAGAAATTTACAGATAGTTCAGTTCAGTTGCTCAGTCGTATCCGACTCTTTGCGACCCCATGGGCTGCAGCACGCCAGGATTTCCTGTCCATCACCAACTCCCGGAGCTTGCTCAAACTCATGTCCATCGAGTCAGTGATGGCATCCAACCATCTCATCCTCTGTTGACCCCTTCTCCTGCCTTCAATCTTTCCCAGCATCAGGGTCTTTTCCAATAACTCAGCTCTTTGCATCAGGTGGCCAAAGTATTGGAGTTTCAGCTTCAGCATCAGTCCTTTCAGTGAACATTTAAGAAATGACTTGCCCAAGGTCACACAGCTAAAAGCCAGAGTCTAGTCACACTGCAACATGTCTAACACATCAGACTTCTGAAAATTCTTCTGTTTTAAATAATCTTCTCATTTGCTTCAACAGGTAGGAAAAACACTGTCAGCCCGATAGTCATTTGTCAGTGACTCTCTCAGTGCAACGCTAAATACTCCTAAGTGTTAGAACATGTTACCTATTAAGTTCTATGAGTACGAAATCTTATGACTTTTCTTTGATGAATCAAAGGACACTAAAACTTTAAAATTCTAACAGTTCACAAAAGGGGGGCCAAACATCCAAAATCTACAATCTTTATTAGAAAAAGGAGTAATGCCACACAGAAGGTAGTATTCCAACTAATTTAACTTTCATTCACCCTGAACAAAAAGTAAAGCTGACCTCATTTCCTGCCCCACCACTGGGGGGAACTGACCTTTTACATAAGACATCATTTCACGCAGGTGCATTTCATTCATGTCTCAACTGAGGGGAGGCTTTCTAAACATCAACACATTTCTCTTACTATTCAATAAAAAAGGATGTGTTAATGAAAGTCAGAGCACTTCTTGGATCTACTCTTTCCCTTTTGTTTTGAAAAAAAAATAACACCTGCATATCGAAGGGAGAAAAACAGAGATTAAGAATTTAATTCATAACTCAAACACCCCCACCAGGAGAAAGGGTGCCTTCAATGCTGTTGAACCCAAATCATGAAATATACATGTCTGTCCTTTGCCAAGTATGGCTGAAAAGGGAGACTTGAAGGTACCTGCTCTGCACAGACTTTACCAAGAACATAAATATTAAGCAGAACCTAAGAATTAAATGTCACTGTATTTTAAAACAAGAGAAAACACCACAAATTAAGGCAAATGAATTTTCCATGCAAGCACAAAGATTCAGATTGCCAAAGAGCTGAGTTACGGTTATGGCTACATTCCTGGATCGGCCTTTGGTGGCAACTGTACATTAAATGCCTATACTAAGCAATCAGCACTTGATGCCATGGTCCCCGTGCTCCCAGTCACCTGGGCGTGCTGGCCGTGTCTCCAGCCGGCAACTCCCACAGCCATACGAGCCTCGCCTCAAACTGTGCTGCAAACTGTCATTCCGCACTCATGGGCGAAGTGATGTGCTGAAGAAACGCAAGTGATATGGGTGTGGCTTTCCGTGTCCTTTGCTGGCACTCTGACAGCTAACTCACTCCTCTGCGCCCAGCCTGGCATGATCAGTGATGTGACATCCAATCACCACACCAAACAACCCCACGAGGGTGAATCTGCTTAAAACTGAAGGGCAAACCGAGTCTCAGAGTGATCGGCCATGGGTCACCTGTCCAAGGGCAGCCGCCTTAGAACATGGTTCATCTGTGACCTTAAACCCCTGCAACCCCGCGCTGCCTCCTGGGTGAAACTTTTTCGTTTGTGAAGTCGTCAGACTGCTGCACCACAGACATGCCTGATGACACCATCAGACCCGGCCCATCCACCTCCCCCAGAGAGGGCATTTCAAGGAGAACAGAGTCAAGAGGATCATAAAACAATGGCCTCATGAACTCTTGCTTCAGAGCTTTTAATTTGGAGAATGTCTTTTTCCTTTATATCAGGGGATAATTACTTAAAATGACAAAACATGACATGTACTAGTAAGTTCTAAGAGCTGTCCAAAAACAAATATTAAAAAAATACAACTTAGCCAGGTGACCTCCTACTTACCTGTCAGTGGTAGAGATGCTGTATTTCCACAGCTCCTTTTTCTCTTCTTGACAGAGTAACAACTTTAAGTCAGATTTGTCTTTCATAAATGACCTGTGCTTATCAGCAGACCCAGAAAGTGTACTGTTAAGTATATCACTGTCTCAGACTACATCACATGTAAGGAACTGACTGCTGAGGATGGTTCTTATACATATAAGAATATATAAAATAACAAAAATCACAGAAATGTGATTGCATAAATATCCCTTATGTAGACATTTACATTACTACATGGTATGTACTTTGCAGCACAAAAGAAGGAAGCCTGGCCATTGCTTATGCTCTGGGTGATGAGGAAGGGTCTTCCTAATGACATCTTCATGTGGCTGCATTTGCTTTTTGCCAAAATACTATTAAATATCTTTTAGGCCAACCATGAAACCATCACTGAATTAGATCTAATAGGAAAATCCTATTCACTCTATTTCCAGGTATTGTCTCTTAAGATTGATCATGTGAAACAGAATCAACAAATTAAATCTGCAACTAAGTTGAATAATAATTGAAATAGGACTTTCCTGGTGGTTAAGTAGTTCAGAACCCACCTTCCAATGAAGGGGATGTAGGTTCTAACCCTCATAGGGGAACTAAGATTCCACACGCTGAGCTGCACAAGAGGACCTGACAACTAAGACTCGACACAGCCAAGTAAATGAATAAATAAATATTTTTTAAAAACTGAATTTTGGGGTTTGATATAAAGTGAAACTTTTTTTTGGCAGAACCACAGTTACACAGACAAGGCTGGCCCTATCCTGTGTCTCATATTATTTACTTTTGTAAATTTTTATATTGATGTAATTTCAAACTTCAGAGAAGTTGTGAGTAAGGAATAAACTTGCTGCTGCTGCTAAGTCGCTTCAGTCGTGTCCAACTCTGTGTGACCCTGTAGACGACAGCCCACCAGAATGCCCGTCCCTGGCATTCTCCAGGCAAGAACACTGGAGTGGGTTGCCATTTCCTTCTCCAATGAGTGAAAGTGAAGTCGTTCAGTCGTGTCCGACTCTTAGTGACCCCATGGAATGCAGCCTACCAGGCTCCTCCATCCATGGGATTTTCCAGGCAAGAGTACTGGAGTGGGGTGCCATTGCCTTCTCTGAAGGAACAAACTTAGGCAGTCTTTTACCCAGACTCATCAATTGTTTACATTATGCTTCATCTGCTTTATCCTCCTCCTCCACACACAGACACACATGCTTTTGTGGGAACCATTTGAAAATATTTTTTACATTCTCTTACTTAACCACAATTAAACATGGTATCTTAAAGTTTATTTTAAAAAAATAAAACTATGTGCAAGATACCATGTTAGATGACAGAAATAAATTGAATAAGAAGCCAGAATAGCTCAAACCATCAGTATTCTGTGCTTATTCTGAGGCAGGTTTCTTGTCCTGGTATTGAAACGCTGCAATAAACGGAATGAACTCAATCACAAGTGAACGGCAATCGTGCATTAACCAATTCTGCGTCAGGTTTGCCCCTTTTAAGGAAATGAATCGGTAGTGGCCCTACCTCTCCAATATCTTTATGATTCTGGATGTAAATAAGCCTGATCAGGCAGAGAAAAGAAGTAAAACAGTGAGCCTGACCATGAAGGAAATGTGTAGGGCAAGCAACATCTTAAAGCTAATAACACGTCAAAGAGGCCTGAGGCTGGGTAAGGAGAGACGAGATGCTTATTCCTAGAAAGATGAGGATTCTCAAGTGGAAGAATCCCATTGCCCCTGCTCTGTCCTTTCTTTTCCTTCTTCCTTCAAGGTAGTTAAATAGCTACTGCTCACCATTTAAAAAGATTCAGAGACAAACAGCTCACAGATGTCTGACTTCTCAATCATCATATACTTGTCAAAAGAACACCTGACCCCAGGGGAAGGAGCAGCGCTGAGGGAAGGCAACTTGTTGCCCCGGGCATTCAGTGAGCGCCTCCCCCAAATCCCCAGGCTATTGTGGGGCCTGGTTCTCTCCAACAGCAACTCTTTTCCTTCCAAAGATGGCCTAAGGACGTGACAGTTTTAAAGAATAAAATAATTAAATAAATATAAAGAATTAAAGTTATCACTGACATGTGCCAATTGGTACTTTCACTCTAATTACATACATCTGGAAGCTGACCAGGCCATCCAAAATAATAACACGTTAGTAACAAAGGCTGAATGCTGACAGGGGAGTTTCATCTTCTTTCTGAGTTCAGGGCACTCCAGCCTCCTGAAGGGCGATCAATTATTGGCCACCATTCCCAACTCCCTTGGCATGAGGTTGGAGTAACTAGTCCCTCCATAAAACCTCTGGCAGGCAGACACTAAGACAGAGACACACACACTGCATGCGTAAGCAGTCTATGGAACACGGCAGGATCTTTCCAGATGTCTTACACAGAGCAGAAATTGGGAGCCCCCCATGGCACTATGAGGCTGTGAGCTGGCACTTGTTCCCCAAATTCAATCATTGAAGGAGGAGTCCCTTACGAAATTTATTTTCCAGATTTATTTACTCCACTCATTCATTCATCCTTATATTTAAGGACCATTATTGAATCGTTCTGAGAAACATCAAAAAACAAGGCAACATACATTCATTCCATTAAAAGCTAGAACTTTTTTTTTTTTTTAAGTACCTGCTGTGATAAGAATGTTTCCAAATTTCATTTGGAATTTCCTTGCTTTCTTTAATAGTGGTGGTGTGTGTAAACTATGTATGATTTAGCCTTTGGCTGATCATTTGTTTTCATTTTGAGTAGAAGATGAACAGTGTAAAGAACACTGGCTTTAAGAGTTTAAACAAAAGGAGTTCTAAGTCAGCCATCCAGCTGGGAACAGCCTGGGAACCATCCTCAACGAGGAGCTGAGGACTATCCCACAATGCAGAGCTGATGTCCAGAACTGCATGGCTCCAGACACATGACTTTAATTTGTTGCTTTCAATATTCTATAAATTAGGCAATTACAGTTTGAAAAGTTTGACCACAAGTATATAGAATAATTATGCTGTAAATTATTATTATTATTATGCTGTCCATTATTATATGGAAAAGGGCTTAAGCATCCCTCCCATAAGCACAGCCATCACTGTTTAAGATGACATACAGTGTGTGAAGGTGTTAGTCAAACTAAAAAACTGCCTTATTATTTTGCTATGCTATTTTGGCCACTTGGAGATCATTTATTTTCTACTGAGCTGTAGCTGCATCCATGATAGTTAAGGATTATTATTTTGATTGACCTTGACCTATACATAAGTGAGCCTTTACTATTTTTCCCTAAAAATCTTAACAAGTCAACATAGAATATGAAAGTCTAGAGGCAGTAGAGGGTCAATGTTTTGCTGAAAGACATATTCTTCCCACATGACAGCGGTACCACTGAATAATTGCATATCTCAAGCAGAAGAGACTTTGGACTGAACCCTATAGGCAAGGAAAAGAACAAAAGGCAGATAGGTAGGAAGGTTCCCCTCCTGGTCTTACAATTAATATGACAGTGATGTTCAGAAAAGAGAAAAGGAACCTGGGAGGGCCCTACTAGCCCACTGTCATCAAGAGAGCCTAAAGGTAGTGGCTTGCGAAGAGAAAGTAAAAGGAACCAATAAGAAAGAGGAAAACTGGGTCAAAGAGGGTTCTGAGTCCTAGGCAGTTGAAAAACAATGCACCAATATGGAAATACTGTCTAGGCAAGTCAGCAGGGAGTGAGGATTTGGGAGCATTGAGATGAATGAGTTCAATCAGATTCACATTGAGGTTATAACTGTACATCAGTGCTGGTATGGTTCCTATTAGTCATCATTTTCTTGGACCAAGTCAAGGAATCAAATCAAAATCATGCAAATAGAAAACAGAATAATTTTCAGTGCCAGCCATTGACTAATGAAGTCAAAGGTCATACCCTTAATTGCAAATACTTTTCCTAATAAAATTCCACTTTAGTTCCTATAAGAAGACTACCCGCAGCACTGCAGGATCCTTAGGAAAAAGTTATTTCTGGTGTGGACATGCCCAGGAAAGTTAGAAGTCCTTTTATCACCAGAAACCAGAACAGATAATGATTTGTGAAGTCAGTTGGGCTAACATTCCGTAAGTGTCCCCTGCTGCTAAGTGTCATCCTGTGGGCCACAAGCTGCTTAACAACTTCTTTGTTAAACTGCTTGTTAACAAGGCCTTTGTACATAGAAGCTTCGGGTCACACACACCCACTCAAGATCTGCTCTAATTCAGCCAGGCTAAATATGTAGGTGAGTTAAATTTAACTACAGACTCATTTGGCAGTAGGGAATCCTGTAACACTTCCATTCTTTACAAACACACACACACATCCAAGCACACTCATGCGTGCGCGCACACCCATATATATACCCTAGTTTTATGGTGTCCTTAGCTTAAAAAAAAAAAGTCAGAGGTCTACAAAAGCCATAGGTCTCAAAACTATTACAATCAAGATTTGAATTTCATAGCAAACGTCACTAAACTGTAATCTCTTTAAAGTTTTCACATAAAGAGCACTCAAGCCTATTGTCTGCTAAAGACAATAAGAAAGTCCTGGCCAACAGAGCCCAACCCAATCGTACTTATTCTGAAATGAATCACAGTAACTGTAAAATAAAAACAATGAAGGTATTGCTTATGAAACATTCCTTGACTAAAAGGACTTCATACCAGCAGTTAGTGACATTAGGCCATGTGCCCTTTGGCCTTTTCTGTATTTTCCAGGTAAACCTCCATCCAACTGGTACATTTTCCGACAGCTGACTGGCCCGACAGGCACACCACTGCCAAGAAGCTATCTATTTTTCCAAGAGGAAATGTGGAACTCTGCAGGGTTTCAAAGCAGGCTAATTTCATGCACAAATACATTCCACGACAGTAAGACAGACTGCTTAACAAAAGGAGGAAACCTGATGACAAAGCTGGGTCCTTTGCCAGAGCGGCGCTCTGGGGGTCAGGTTATTTGGCTGTAAGCCGGCCTGCAAGGCAGAATCCAAAGGGCAGGCTGCGGTGTGAGGCGGGCGGCGCGAGGCGCTGTCTCATGAACTCATTGTTTTCCATAATGGGAGACGCAGATATTTTCTCAAAATCGTATTCAAGTCTCCTATTGACTTTCTGAATTTCCATTTTCAACGGCGGCCCAAGGAAACGGCAGCCAGACTTGACTCCAATGTACACACAGACTCGGGTTTCACCCCGTCACCTGTTGGCGCCTGAACAACACTCCTCTTTGTGAAACGCACAGCCCTCATTTGAAACAAGTTTCCAGAGAAAACACTTCAAGAAAGTGTTTGAGAAGTCACAAGACTCGAGTTGTAAAAACAAATTCCACACATAGCCTGGCCTATACTGACACAGATTAATGTGAAAACCCGAGGTTTTTAAAAAGGCCGCGGGAGAGGAGTCGAGGAAGGGATATCACCCCGTCCTTCCGAAAAACGCAGGGGACTAATTCGAGGTGGACCGCGGGGTACGGGCTGGGGGGCTCCGCCGGGCCCTCCGCGTCCGCCTCAGGAACGCCCGGAGTCGGAGCCCGAGCGCCCGCGGCCCGCAAGCCCACCCTCCGCGCGGCGCCGGCTGCTCGGGCCGCCAGGGGGCGCCCGGGCCGCGGGTCCGCCTCGGGCCTGGGCTCCTCCGCCTCCGCGGCCTCCCGGACTTAGACGCCCAGCTCCAGATCCCGAAGCGAGGAGACGAGCCCTTCACGGCGCCGGCGAGAGCCCCGCGAGGGCAGCCCCTCGACGCCCGGAGCCTTCGAGGCCCCCGCGCCGCCCTCGGGGCAGCGTTACCTCCTCAGCCGGGACCGCACTCGCTCCACCGCTCGACCGCCGGTCCCCGCGTCTATCCCGATAGAAACCCCCCCGCGAAACCCTCCCCTTAGCCTCAGCATTCAGCCCCCGCGGCCCATCGCCAACGAGCCCCGGAACCCAGACGGCGGCTCCCCACCGGCGGCCGCATGCGGCCTGCAGCCCCTCCGTAGAACCCTTGGCGCGCACTCGCCGTCCCCAGCTCTGCGACCGGCCGCGGCTGGCGGCCCGGCGCGGGTGCTCCCGTAGGAAAACAGGGCTGGGGGTCCCTAGGGTCATCCGCGCCCACCCCTTTCCGGACGAGACCCCAGCAGGCGTGGGCCGAGGGGCAGGGGCAGCGAGCGCGGGGGCCCCGTCGCCGCGCAGTGTCAGCCCCGCCCGGCCAGCGAGGGGTCGCCCCCGCCCCGCAGTGACGCGAGGTCCGCCGGCCGGTCCTGTGAGTCCCCTTTCGGTGCAACGCGGCGATCCTCAGCCGCGGCCGCCGTCTAACCTGCCGTGAGGGGGCCGGCAAGAAGTCCCCCAGCTTTCCAGAGACCCTTCGTCCCCGCCGGCGTCGCCGACTCTGCTCCCCAGTGTTGGAGTCGCCTCGCCCAGGCCACCGCATCCCCCACGCCTCAGCGCCGCGTCTCTCCAGGATACGCCACCGCGGAAAGAAAAAACCCGTCTCCTCTCTGCTCTTGGGCCCGCGATCTTCAAAAGTAACCAGAGCCCGCATTAAAAAAAAAAAAAAAAAAGTAACCATTTCGCTTCCTGACGGTCCCACCCTCCTTGCGGCGCTGCGGGCCGGCCGCCGGGCTGGCGATCCCCGCCCAACTCCGCTCCCCGCTCCCGTCCGCAGGAGGAGCCTACCCGGCCAGATCCCGCCGCCACCCGCTTTCCAGGAACTGTCACTGCTGACCATGCGCCTGGCAGGTCTCCACAAGGTCCCGCGCACGAAGGATTCCTCGAAGAGTTACCCACCCACTTGGCCAGCCTCGTGGCCCGAGCTCCTACCTCGGTCCGCCCGCTCCACTCCCGGGAGCCCTAGTGAGTGTTAAAGCCGAGATGCAAATACCCCAGGACGCTTATGTAAACTTCCCCTCCCGCAGGTGCACGCGCGGGCCAGAAAACGCTGGGAGCATATGCAAGGACACCTCCTAGAGAAATCATCTCCTCTCTGCCCATAACAATGATGTCAGCAAATGGCACGTTTAACCAAGTTCTCACTTGGAAGGGCTCATTAACATATGAATTCTCCTCTTAGGCCTTGCCTTGCATTTCGGAGAGGTTCCTCCTGCTTTTAGCGCAGATTTATTTTTATCAGTAAATAACATCCAAAGAAACGGAACCAGGTCACGGGATGCACTCAATCAAGTACATGAATAAGAGTTGTTAAGTGAATATAATTATTCAAACACAAGGACTATGCTCATACTCATGGCTAATCTTGTTTCTGAGCTGTTAATATTTCTATGTACACTAAGGAAAAGTGAAGCTTGGCATTAGTTGCCTACCGATAGAACGAATAGAAGCAAAAACAGGACCTCAAGGCAAGCCCAGGAAGAAACTACAATCTGCAGCAAAAGACTGAGTCACTTCAAAACTACAAACTTTAATTTCTACAATAGCCTCCTTATCACAAGGCAACATGCCAAAAGAAGAGAGAGAAAAAGATGCAATATTTAAGAGCTTTATCAGTTTATAAAATGCAACTTAAAATGGTCACCAGTTCCTTGGGTATCTTATCTCTTTTTCAGGTTATATTAGAAAAAAAAATCCTTAGACCATCAGGATTCCTTGGAAGTAATTTGCAACATATATGTTTCTACAGTATACAAATGAACAATAGCCCATTGTAACTGTGACTTAAAAATACACAAACAAGTTGCTATAAATAGAGCAGTCAAGTGAATAACTCTGCGGCCAATTTCTGTTATCTCTGCTGCAAAGCAAGGCAGCTGATTTGAAAGCTGCTTTTTTTTAAGTTAAAGTGGCAGAGGCCCCCCAAAATGTAATGGCTCTGTTGGTAGACTAGCTTGGAAACACTGCAACAGGATCTGTTATTGAAATATACTCTATGTTGGTAAATCTAGAACACAAGTTGTGAAGATGGTTCCCAAACAGTTCTAATGTAGATCTCCTCTGCCTTCAGGTTGTATGGAGATTGGTGAGAGGGTAGGGGTGGACTTCAAAGATGACCACTTTCCTCTGTGGAGCTGTGAAATGAGTCGTGAATACCTAGGTCAGATTTCCTTTTTCCTATTTCATTTCTGTTTGGACTTTCTCACGGAAGTCATCAGCTGACAGTGTGCAGTCCATTACTGACTTAAATCAAACCCCAAACTATCATATCATTATAATGCAGAGAGTATCAACAGGCCAATGCTTTTTGCCAGGTGGATCCTTTTTGAAAGCTTTTAATGGAGAGCTACACCTTAGCCAAGGCCTCAGAACCCTCCCAACTACAAGCCATAGCAACACTTACCAGTATTAAATGTCTGCCATTCTAAGTGTTCTTCTTCTCATGCAGTTACTGGTAAATACTGCTTGTTACATTTTCAACAGTTACTGTCCACCTTATTGCTTATTGTAAGTGTTTTCAGTGATGAAACAGGTTTGGAGACAGTTAAAAACTTCCTACTAAAGTTCAATCTGAATGTAACAGACCTTAGTCGGGTCTGAAAGACATTGTTATTGTCAAGGGTGAACTTATGCAGGATGGAGAGCAAGGCCCCCAACCAGCATCCTTTTGTTTTAGCGGGGAGGAATATTCATTGCCTGGAAATCACACTTGCCAGGAGGCTGAGAAAGGAAGCCCAGAAATTCACAGGACTCAGTTCCCTCTAGCCAGCAAGTTCTCTGCCCTACTCTCACTCAGAGTGGCCTTTTCCAGCTGCCCATCCCAAATATCACCCATGTCCCCCCCCCCCTCCCCCCCGCCTTGTGTTGTCTTCACAGCACTCTTGCTTGACATTCTATTTGTTCATGTTTGCTGTCTGTCTTCTTCCCTAGCCTTTGGGGGTTCATTACTATACTCTCAGCACTAAGATTCATGCCCCGCACTTAGTGGACAAGTCCAATAAGCAGGAGTTGAATGAACGAATGAATTTTGGACATTCTTCTCAGGCCTTCATTGCCATGGCATACCTGAACAAGGAACTCTGTTTCTAACCTAAAGCCAGACAGAACTCCAGTGTCTTAATGGAGGAGACTGAGAAAGAAAGAAAAACGCCAAAGGCAGAGAAATAAAGAGAGAGCATTTTGGTTGTCAAATGCCTGTCAGCTTTATTGGGTCTGGGAGAAAGAGATAAACGTACAAAATATAAAGCACAACTGAGTTCTATTCCTTGGTTCTCCTATGATTTGTATATGGTGACCTTGAGGCCTTTTCTGCTCCTTGCTTCTATTTTTCCATTTGTTAAACAGACCTACTTTATTGAAGAGTAAGAGTTGCTCTTGGTCTCAGCTATGTGGAAGGATTTGTAACTAAAAGTCAGTCATCTAGGAAGAGTCTATTTAAATGATTGAATGTCTATGTTTCTGAATAGAAAAGAGAGATCAAGGACTCTGAAATTCATCAAATGACATTTCACTCACTAAATTTAAGGGGCAATTGGCATAGGGAATGTTAAATAGGGTGACAGTTTTTAGGACAGCATTTGGGTAGTGCTGACTATGTAGAGATAGGTAACTAAAAGAATCACAACATCTGTAATGTTGGATGCAATTTCTAATGAAAATAGCTTAAAAAATAAACCACAGAGTCAGACAATGCTGGCGTTGACAACAACCTGTAGGATCCTACATCTTGTCCAGGAAAAAACCCAAGATCCAGAAAAACAATCATAATCATAATTCTTCAAGTCTGTTACCAAATTTGCTACCACTAAATGTTTATGTAAAGTGTTTTACCTTCTTTTTAACTCTAACATTTGTGTTGTATCTCTGATTGGGCAGTATATCCTGATGGCTAACTGATCACGTGCAAATTCTAGGGTCAGCTGAGTCCTCAGCAGCCCCAGGGAAGGGCCTGAAGGCAGTATCAGCTCTTCCGAGAGTTAATAGGTTGGATGTTGTTTTATAATAGGTTGCAGTTTCTCTAGGTCTCCAATTACTTTCTTTCCGCCTTTGATTATATTTAAAGCAATGTGATTAGAGAGCACTGGTTCTTTAACATTTTCTACACCCAGTCCCTCTTTAGATTTACTACTCTGATCCTCCCAGCCAGCCAGCCCCTCCCCCAACTCCTAACTCCTTTGAGGGTATGGTAAATCCTCCCTGCAAAATATCCCGATGCGCTGGGTTTGGAGTTAGGAGACTTAAAAGTCTATTCTCCGTTAACTACTAGGCTCAGGGACAAATCACTTCTATAAGGTATTAGTTTTTGTTTTTTTTTTTTTCATTTCTAAAAATGCTATGTCAGTGGTTAGAACTTCTGAGGAGGGAACACAGTCTATTTTTCAACTAAAATAGGAATCAGTATTGAAACTGATGAAAGTAAAACTGCCCTACTGAAGTACTGGGTTGGTTTCTTCCCAAACCCTTCCCACAATTACTTCCTCAAACCCACTCTTCCAACTTGGACCTCAGGCTTCACCATCTCAAACTAGATGCTTCCAGAGACTCCACCAGTTCTAATATTTTTTGAGTCTCTTAAAATTTGATAGCTGGTTGTGACAATAATACCAGGCAGGTGTCTTGAGTCTATAGCCCAGGCTGGGTGGGAGAATACAGGGTCAGATCCTTCCATTTGACTCTCATTCAGAGTTATGACTTCTAGTAAAAACCCACCACTCACTCTCTGCTGCTCTGAAATAACCCTTTCCCAGTCCAGGAAATGTCTCTTTCCATGGACAGGTAATTACAGTATTCCTTAAGAACGTAAAACTTTCCTTAAGTTTTTCAACTTTCTCTATTCCTGTAGATCTGTGGTTTAATACAACATACTTCAGATTTCATTGCTGAAAAACTGCCAACGTGTTAAGAAATAAAGAATAAATCTTCCAATAAATATTGGGACATCTAGGGGGCTTTCCTGGTGGCTATGTGGTGAAGAATCTGCCTACCAGTGTGGGAGAACAGGTTCTATTCCTGGTGTGGGAAGCTCCCGCATGTCGCAGGGCAACTAAGCCATGTGCCACGACTAAACCTGTGCTCTAGACCCCGGAAGCCGCAACTACGGGAGCCTGAGCACCCTACAGCCCATGCATGTCCCACAACAAGAGAGGCCATCGCGGTGAGAAGCCTGAGCACCGAAACTAAACAGCGCTGGCTTCCACAACTAGAGAAAAGCCCTCGCAGCAAGGAAGACTCAGCACATCTATAAATAAAGTTATTAAATATTGAGAGATCTATACATGGAAAGATAGGATAATATGGAGATGCAAATCCCAATACATAGTATGATCACATTATTACAGCTAATAATATATGGGCTAATGTATGCATAGCAAAACTACTTAGAGGAATATAATTACTGAATCATTAATATGATTTCTAGAGAAGGGCAGATGGAAACTTTCACTTTTGAACTTACAGTTGACCCTGGAGCAATGTGGGGGTGAATCTGTGTGTAACTCCCTATCCTTGGTTCCTCTGCATCCAAAGATTCAAAGACAATGCAGC